TAGATCAGCAGCCCGACTTTGAACTCGAAGTCGGTGTACTTGGCACCACCCCTGCAGCTGATTTTTAATTTGGTCAATGCCGTCTCTGAAGGCAATTTGCAGATGCGTGTGGGCAGGCCCTTGACGTCAACGAACGCCTCATCAAGGAGGACCAGCTGGAGTACCAGGAAGAACTGAGGTCCCACTACAAGGACATGCTCAGCGAACTCTCCACAATTATGAATGAGCAGGTGAGCTTTCAGTGGATAGAAAGTGTCCTTTACCCCCAATGCCAGGAGGACTGGGAAGAGCCTCTTTTCTTGCTGCTGGAGTCACTGTCCCTTATGTCAGCACCATGTTGCCCAGTTCTCTTCCCCCGTGCACAACATGCCTCAAAGCAGAGATCAGGGTGGGGGAAAAATCCGTAGAAAAAGAATATAAGAACCCAGATACTTTCTGCAGAGTTCACAGGTGTTTTTACCTAAGCCACATGAGCTGTTGGTTTTCTGGAATAGTGAGTCCACTTAGACACTGAGGAACACTGAGTGGCATTCCCAGCAGGGTCTGCTGCCACTCCCCATTATCCAAGCTTATGGATCTCACAACCCCCAGACTGCCATGTGGAGTTCCAGAGTTTTGCATCAGGGGACTCTGTACCACACTCAGGAAGAACCCCAGGACCGGTCATCGCCTTTAATCACCAAGACACAAGAGGCTGGGCCTCTTGCAGATGTTAACAGAATAAAACAAAACCTCCCAGCCCACAAGCAAGTTAGCCATGATTTCTGGCAGGTATCCAGCATGTTCTATAAGGCTGTGCACAAAATGTGGGAATTCAATAATCATAGTACTTTGGGGGTGCTAAAAATCAAGTAGTTGAAAACCAAGTACCGCTCCCATGGCCCATTTCCCAGCACCCATTGACCCTCACACTCTCCCTGGACATCGCACCCATGGTCTCCTCCAGCAATTAGGTGTGTTCTGTACAGAATAATTGAGGGACAGAACTTGAAGTAGTCTGCTAGTAGTGCTCCATACGTTGCAGCCACACAGTTAATATTAGGTCCCCTTCCTTTCCTTAATTGACCTAGCACTGTTAACACTATCCCCAAAATATGAAATGTGCTGTACAAATCTTTTATTCTAAGTGCATTTCCCATATATGTTTCTTTTTCTTCTGTTTCATTTTCTCTCACCCACATTTTTAACTCTCCATAGTAGCTAGAGAAAGAAATCGTTGATTGACTTCTGTTGGAGAGAATGAATTCCACCGGATAGGATTCCTCGTGGAGGCAGTATTGGTTTGGGCTTTATTAGGGGTGATAGGAATTAAATTAGAGAAAGAAATCGTTGATTGACTTCTGTTGGAGAGAATGAATTCCACCGGATAGGATTCCTAGTGGAGGCAGTATTGGTTTGGGCTTTATTAGGGGTGATAGGAATTAAATACTCAGGAGAGATGCCTTAAAAGCATGGGGGAAATCATAAATCTGGGAATGAAACAAAAAGAACCAACAATGAATCTGAAAGTTGGGAAAGGCCGTGAAGAATGCTTGTCTCCAACTGTAAATCTGTTCTGACCTTGAAACTTCCAGCAAAAATTCTTGTCTCTCTTTTTTCCTGGCAGCTCTGTCGAGGTCCGTGTTTGTACAGCTTCTCTTCCTCTGTGTCTAGCATTTCCCTCAGTACTGTAAGCAAAAGTGGTATGTTGTGGTTTTTTTCCTATGTCTACTTTGTCCTTTGTGGCCTTCTAGTCTACTTTTCTCTTCCTAGCTGTTCATTTTCCCCAGTCACCTCCATCTTGACTGGTGTTCTGTAAGTTTTTATTTAATTAAAACAAATTTATTTCCATTTCAAGGTAGGTCAATGAAAAAACAAAGGCCTGGTGATTAAAGTTAAAGTTAACAACTTAGCTTTTAAAATGAAAATTCATATTCCATTACCTTCTAAAATGTGTTTGAGGTCATTGGTTTCCAAAATAAAACTACACTATACCCCAATGTGCTAAAACAAAACTACAAAAACAAAGACCAGGTGATTATGGAGAGAGAAAAATAACTTCCTTTCCAGGGAACCTTTGCTAAAAAAAGCAAAACTCGACTCTGTGCTTCCTGGAAACTGATGCAAAGAACAGACACTGACAGATTGCACAAGTCTTGATGGATTGCACAGCAAAAGAAATAGATCTGTTGGCAGGAAAGATAAACTTTCTTCTGCTCTTGAGCTTCCATGGGGATTTGTCACATAGGTTTTCATATATAGGAATAACCTTCATGTACCTATATACTTAAGCACATATTCTGGAACTTTTAAAAAGAGAAACAATTAGAATGTATAAGTAGACATAGAAAAAATAGAATTAATTATGTAATTCACTCCAAGAGTGTCCAGGAAAGTCTTAGATAGAAGAGTATTCTAAAGCCATCTAGCTTACGAAAGAACCTTCAATATAAGGAAAGAGATGGAACAGGATCAAGTGGATGCTAGTGTGTAAAATGGAGATGTTGATATGAAGTAATTTGAATTGTCA